ATTGAAAGCCATAATCAATACACCATTTATTGATTGTTTTACTAAATTATTGCTATTTATTGTAGTTTTAAACTAATGTTAACTAAAATTACTTTAAAAATACAATTAATTGCAAAACATTTTTACACTTTTCTTATAATTTGTTGCGTTTTCTACAGTTTTATAACAAATTCATTACAAAAGGGTTTCAAATCGTATTATTTTGACGTTATTTATGAGTTGTGTTTCAAAAGCAATGCTTTTTAAATACATTTCTCAAAAACATGTGATTATTATTGAATGTAAAGTAAATTGTGATTAAAATTATCATAAGTTGTGTTGAGTTGACTCCACAGCCGAAGACATGTCTATCGTCGACCTGTCGGGCAGTAATTGTCTTCGACAACGACTGGTGCTGTCGATACTGTCGGGCCGACCGATGCGCGTGTCTGGGATCAGATGCAAAGACATGGACAGAGGTCTGAACGACAGCGAAATGAATTTACTAAAACTGGTCGAAAAGGTGACCAACGGTTCCGACATCTATGTCGACGAGAGGGGGACCAGACTTATGTTCAAACCCGGCCTCCCATACGGCGGACACGTGGACCACGACTGCGGCCTAACCCGCAGTATTGTCTACTCTCTGGAACTGCTCTTAATGTTGAGTCCGTTTTGCAAACACCCGATTGAGGCGCGACTGACGGGCGTTACCAACGATCGCATCGACCCGTCGGTGGACGCCATCAAACACTCGGCGCCCGCAGTAATGAAACCCTTCTTCGGTTACGTCGATCCCGAAGATCTCGCGATCGAAGTGGTGTCCAGAGGTCTGCCGCCCGACGGCGGCGGTTGCGTGACATTGAAGTGTCCCATTCGGCGCATTCTGCGACCCGTGCAGTGTCTCAGCGCCGGTAAAGTGAAGAGAGTGCGCGGCATTGCGTTCGCCACTCGGGTTTCGCCGCAAATCGCTAACCGAATGGTCGCCGAAGCGAAGGGAATACTCTTGAAATACATTCCCGATATCTATATATATACGGATCACTTGAAAGGCGCCAAAAGTGGCAAATCTCGCGGTTTTGGTCTGTGTTTGTGGGCGGAGACGACGACCGGTATATTCTATACGGGAGACGCGGTCTCACATCCGTCCGGTTCCGGCAAAGAGACGGAAGCCGTGGCCGAAGACATCGCCGTAGAGGCGACTCATGCGCTCCTCAATGATATCTATAGAGGAGGAGCTGTCGATACACAGAATCAGGGATTGTGTGCTCTTCTGATGGCTTTCGGTCAAAGAGATCTCTCGAAAGCAGAGTTCGGACCATTGACTCCATTCACGATACAAATGTTGAGACACATCAAGACATTTGTCGACTTGACCTTCAAATTGGACACTAAATCAAGCGCTGAACGCAACGAAGACATCGACGACCAGTTGAAGTTGGGCTCCAAGAAAGTGGTGGCCACTTGTATTGGCATCGGTTTCTCTAACCTAAACAAAACTGTTTCCTAATCTTTGTTATCATTCATTATTTGTATTTTAAGTAAAATTTAAAATCCATTTAATAAAAGTTTTATTTTATTTAAACCTAATTGTAAACGATTGCAGAGTTTATTAAAGAGTTAAATAAGCGGTGAATTGTGTCCACACATCAGATGCAACGATATTTCGAGGAAAGAGTAGATTTATTAATGTATTTCAGATAATTTTATGAGAATTAGTTTTCAAACAATTAAGAGTTAGTTAATAAATGGCGATATATTTTGAATGTCAAAACAGCAATACTTTTGAACTAACTTGAAAAGTATAAAATGTTTTGTTTTAATAATAATAATAATAATTCTTTATTTAAAAACTTGTTGTTAAAAAATACATGAGTATTACAAATAGTCATTTAATTTACCGTTACTTTTTGTAACAAAATAATTACTTGATAATAAGTTGAACATAATAAAATTGGTTTGTGATTTAAATAAATGAAAAATTTGACTTTTAATTGAATTGAAACTGAAAGCCATTATCAATGAAACGACCGAAATATTGGCTAAAAATGGTTTTCAATGAGTTATGAATTGCACTACAATTCCAATGATATAGTAGTGGTCGTCGGCGTACTAGTGATGAACGGCATGTCATTAACACCTGTTTTCTATGGCAAACACCTGTCCATTACAGACATTACCTCATGTCTTGTGACCCGCAATATACACACTCATCGAGAGATGTCTGCAATTATTGATAATAACAATAGGAATAGACGGCAGAGAAAAACAAATTAATTACAAATTGAATGACAAGTAAATTAAATGAGTCTAAAGATGAGAATCTGTAATAATCCTTAAATACCAAAATTAAAACAATTATTGAAATGATATATACATTACATGTCTAGTACTTTACATCAATTAAATGCATTTTAGACAATGTATTGACCTTTTTATCAAATTTTATTACTTTTGAACAGGAAGTCTGACAAAAAATTAAAATTTTTCAAACATTAACTATTGAAACACAAAAACTAAAGATTTTCTAGAATTGTAATAAAAATTAGTTCTCAGATATCAGTTTCAAACTCACATAATGTGCGCTAAATGTATACAATATATGGCATAAAACAAGAATATTTGTGATTTAAGGCACTCAATAGGAATATATGAATGCAATCGGAGACCAAATATCAATAGACAATACAAATACTGTATACAGAATTTGATCTCAAATTCCTCTTACAGTATAAAAACGCACAAAACTTTTGTCTTTCAACACAACGAGTGGATCTGTTTGAGAGTCTCTGTCTAGTAAAACATTTTGCGCTCATTTGATTGTCAAACAACTCTATTAATAAATATATGGTTTTATAACAATATAATCGGATGTTTTGAGTCAAAGAATTGTCTTTAATTAAAAAGTTGTTTTTAAGTATTTGTCATAATAATGGGATTGCATTCAAACCAAACACAATTCACTCAATAATGTGGTAGTAATTCGTCCCAAAATGACGATCTGTTCTGATATAACGCTTTCAGATGTCTTTGAGGACGAATTCTCTATTCATTATTGGATTATCTGATTGTCAATCGGTTTGCCATTCACTCCAACTTCACATTAAGGTATCAAAACATTAATTCATTTTCATTAAATTTTTTATTTAAATTGAAATTTGAAAAAAAACATCAATTATTATATAATTAAATATATTTAAACTATTTTCAAATCTTTGATTTCATTGTTTGTTATATAATAGTTATTATTAGAAAAGCTTACAATATATATACTGTATATATTTATAATATTTAATAATTCAATAATAATAATAATAATAATATTGGAAAGAATGACACAAATATATTATCAATACAACAAACAAAGTGTTGAATAAGTCATGCAATAAGTGGACCGACAGACAGACCGACTCAATGGCTATCAAATGGGA